GACGGATTTTTTTTTGGAAAATGTATTTTAAGGTAACAAAAAATCTAACCCAAACACTGGGGTTGAAACAAAATGTATTATGTTTGAACAAGCTTATGCACCCTTCCACTCTCTCTCCCACCCATCTCTCGCTCCCCCTTTCCCCTCCCCCCCTCCCCCTCCCTCTATTCCCTCCCTCTCTCCTTCTCCTACCCCAGTGTGGACAGCGCGTTTCTCCCAGGAGCCAGCGGACCAGTCGGTGGTGCTGGGCCAGAGGGTGATTTTGTCCTGCGTTGTGTTTAACTACTCGGGCATTGTGCAGTGGACCAAGGATGGACTGGCCCTGGGCATCGGAGAGGACCTCAGGGGTGAGACTACAACAACTCTAAGACCCCCCCAACAACACCCAACAACACCCAACACCCATCGTTTCTAGTCGCCCTCCTTAAAAGGCCTCTCTGTATATCGCCCTGTCTCCCCTTTTCACTCTATCTTTCATTATCTCATGTTGTGCTGTTGTGGTTTTTACCTTTTGTGGTTTTTACCTTGTGGTCCTCTGTAGCTCAGCTGGTAGAGCACGGCGCTTGTAACGCCAAGGTAGTGGGTTCGATCCCCGCGACCACCCATACACAAAAAAATGTATGCACGCATGACTGTAAGTCGCTTTGGATAAAAGCGTCTGCTAAATGGCATATTATTATTATTTTCTCTACCACCTCTCCCCCTCTTTCTATCTCTACCCCCCCCCCTCTCTCTTTCTCTCTGTCTCTCTCTTTGTCTCTCTCTCTCGTTCTCTCTCTATCTCTATGTCGCTGAGTCTCTGTCTGTCTATCAATTTCTCTATACCTATCTCTATCACGAACATACACGTTCTATCTCTCCTATCTGTAAGAAATAAGGCTTGTTAAAAAAAAAATTATGTAAACTCATTGCTTTTCCTACATTCTGTTTCAGGCCACACTTTCCCCTTTATCCCTCTTTCTCTTCCTTTGCAGCTTTCTCTTCCTGCTTCATTCCGTCTCGCTCTCTCTTTGCCTCTGTTCAACCCCTCACTCATTCTTCATTCTCCCTCCCTCCCTCCCCCTCTGCCACTCTTTTCCTCTCCTTCACACTCTCTCTTCCTCCCTCTCTTTGCCTCTGCTTTCTCTCAAAATTCCGCTCTCCCTTTCCTCAGGCTTACATATCTGACTCCCACTTCGGTCTCTCTCTCTCTGGAAATCTCTTCTTTCTCTCTCTCTCTCTTTCTCTCTCTCTCGCTTTCCTCTCCCCTCCCTTCTCCTCCTCCTCACCTCTCTCTCCTCTCCCTCTCTCCTCTACGCCTCTCTCTTCTCTCTCTCTCTATATCTCTCTCTCTCTCTCTCTCCTCGTCCTCTTCTCTCTCTTCTTCTCTCTCTCTCTCTCTCTCTCTTTCAATCATATGTTACTGTAATGGTTCAGTGCTTCAAGCCAAAGCTTTTAAATAGAAACATGTGAATGAACACTGGTTCCCTCATACACACACTCCCTCTCTCCCTCGATCCCCCGCTCTCTCTCTCCCTGCCTCTCCCCCTCGCTCCTTCGCTCTCTCTCCCTGCCTCTCTCCCTCGCTCCCTTGATCTCTTTCCCTCTCCCTTTCATACTCTTTCGCTCTCTCGACATTTCACATGCAAATACATGCATAGACAACACACAGACACACATGATATGCCAGTTACAAGGACACACAAGGTTATGGGAGGGTAAGCTCATTTGAAGCATATGGATATACATACAGTACATTCTACTGTGACAGAATGATTCAGATGGAATTTATATGTGAAGAGAAAGGATATGAAATCTGCTACAGCATTTCTGTCCCTTTGGAGTCCTCTAAAACGTTGTTGTCATAATGCATGCATTTTATTCTCTTGCTGGTGAAAGAGAGCATGGCTGCCACCTGCTGGTGAGAATGTATAGCATCACGGGAGCTGTGAGCGCTAGAAGAGAGCGAGTGAGAGAAGGGGGGTGGAAGGAAGGGGGAGAGAGAGCGAGAGATAGACAGAGAGAGAGAGAGAGAGGAGAGAGAGAGAGAGAGAGAGAGAGAGAGATAGACAGAGAGATAAATAGAGAGAGAGAGAGAGAGAGAGAGAGAGAGAGAGATAGAGAGAGTGTGCATACATGCGCATATATATGAATATTTGCATGGTTGTTTTCATTTGCATAAATAATTATGCACAGGTGTTTTTGGTTTGTTATCATTACATTCAATACATTCCAAATGAGCCTGTCCTTCTCATTTATCATTTAACCAGCATCTACTGGTTGTCCCTATGTCTGACTCTCTCTCCCTTCCCCCCAGCCTGGCCGAGGTACCGTGTGTTGCGGGTGCAGGAGCTGGGCCAGTATAACCTGGAGATCATCTCAGCTGAGCTGTCTGATGACTCCCTGTACGAGTGCCAGGCCCCTGATGCTGCACTACGTTCTAGAAGAGCCAAACTCACCGTCCTCAGTAAGATACAGCAACTGCGTGCGTGTGTGTGGTTGTGTAAGTGTTTGTGTGTGGTTGTGTATATGTGTGTGTGTGTGTGTGTATTCCCATATGTGTGTAACCCCCCTGTCCTATCTCCAGTCCCCCCAGATGACCCAGTGATAGATGGGGCCCCTGAGGTGCTGCTGAATGCAGGGGACCACTATAACCTGAGCTGTGTGTCCCGCGGGGCCAAGCCCCCTGCCATGATAGAGTGGCAGAAAGACGGGATCCCTGTAGATGGAGCAGTCAGCACTACCGTGAGTCAATGAAACATGCATGTACACAGACATACACATAGTATTATAACACACACATGCACACACACACACACACACAAGTACATATCACAGGCATGCACACACAAACACACACACACACTCAAATACATACACACATTGGACACAGTCACTGACTTTCATTGCGTCACGCCTACCTTTTCTCATAGTTGTATTGGCCGTCATCTCTTGAGTCCATTGTTACCCCTCTCTTGACCATTTATCTGTCTCCCTCCCTCCCTCGTTCCTTCTTTCCCTCCCTCCATCTGTCTCCATCAGGAGGTGCTCCCAGACAGGAAGAGGGTGACGACCCACAGCTTCCTGCCCATCCACCCAGTGGACACAGACACAGGGAGGAACTATAGCTGCGTGGCCAGTAACCTGGCTATCCCCACCGGGAAACGCACCACCGTCACCCTCAACGTACACCGTAAGTCACCCTCAAAGTACACCGTAAAGACTTGTTCATAACCATCCCCTTAGCTTTACATCGTTTTCACTACAGACTGTATGACTGAATATCTGATGTTATTCAAAGACAACAGCTACTAATGAAAACCAGTAGATCACAGATCACTGCCCAGGACCCTTGAGGGATTCTCTCTTTTTCCATCATCTCTCTCTACCCCCCTCCTCCCTCCTTCTCTCTATCATTTGCTTATTTGCTTATGTATCGGTGTGCCTCAGTAACCCTGTGTATCCTCTCTTTCCAGACCCCCCCACGGTGACCCTGTCCATCGAGCCTCGCTCCGTCCTAGAGGGGGACAGAGTCACCTTCACCTGCGCAGCCTCCGCCAACCCTCCTATCATGGGATACATGTATGTCCTCTATCTATCTGTTCGTCTTTCTGTCTGTCTGTATGTCCACCTGTTTCTCTCTCTAGCCGTGCATTAGTCTTGCTGGATAGTTGTATTTTGGGTAGTTACATGTTTAATGTGTTAGTCGTGGTGTGCATGTTTTTGGCCAATGCGGGAATCAAACCTACAGCTCTGGCAGTACATGTTTATTCATACAATATGTATGTGTTCTTTCTCAGGTGGGCTAAAGGTGGAGTGATCCTGCAGGGGGCCAGAGAGAGTGTGCTCACCACCAAAGCTGACCATTCCTTCTTCACTGAGCCAGTGTCATGCTCAGTGTTCAACGCCGTGGGCAAAACCAACGTCAGCATCCTGGTCGATGTACACTGTGAGTCTGACTAGACCTCCATGGCTGGCCAATAGCATCTGTCTGTCTGTCTGTCTGTCGGTCTCTCTCTCTGTCTGTCTGGCTGTCTGTGTGTCGCTCTGTCTGTCTGTCTGTCTGTCTGTCTGTCTGTCTGTCTGTCTGTCTCTGTCTGTCTGTCTGTCTGTCTGTCTGTCTGTCTGTCTGTCTGTCTGTCTGTCTGTCTGTCTCCCTCTCTGTCTGTCTGGCTGTGTGTGTCTCTCTATCTCTCTCTCTCTGTCTGTCTGTCTGTCTGTCTGTCTGTCTGTCTGTCTGTCTGTCTGTCTGTCTCTGTCTGTCTGTCTGTCTGTATGTATGTCTGTCTGTCTGTCTGTCTGTCTGTCTGTCTCTCTCTCTCTCTATCTCTCTCTCGCTCTCTGTCTGGCTGGCTCTCTCTCTGTCTGTCTGTTTGTCTGGCTCTCTGTCTCTTGATCTCAATCTCTCTCCTCTCTCTGTCAGTCTTTCATTTCTCTTTACCTGGTCATTTTTGTATTGTCTTTGACTTTGTTATCAGTCCTCTCTCTCTCTCTCCCTCCCTCTCTCTCCCCAGTTGGTCCTATTCTGGTAGTGGAGCCCAGACCAGTGACAGTGGACATGGACTCTGATGTCGCTCTGAACTGCAAATGGGCCGGCAACCCTCCTCTAACACTTACCTGGACCAAGAAGGGCTCCAATATGGTGAGGGCCAGCTCTCTCACTCCTCCACTCTCTTCCTTCTCTCGCTCCCTTTATCTCTTCTATCCTCTGTATCTCTCCGTCTCTCTATTCTCTTTTGCGCCCCTGCTCTGTCCATCTCTCTCTTTCTCTCTCGTTGTGTAGGTCCTCAGTAACGACAACCATCTCTTTCCCCCTCTCTTTTCTATCCGTTGTCTGTCTTCTTTCTTCCTATCTCTCCTTTCTTTCTTTCTTTCTTTCTCTTTTATTATCTTTTGTCCCTCTAAAAAAGTAGAATGGCCTCCGGCCACATCATCGCACTCCCCTTTTCGTCTGTCCATCTCTTTCTCTCTGTTTGCCCCTGACTCTCTGTTTGTTCCTCTCTCTCGCCATCCCTTGTGTAGGTCCTTAGTAATAACAACCAGCTGTTCCTGAAGTCAGTGAGCCAGGCGGACGCTGGGCAGTACGTGTGTAAGGCCATCGTCCCCAGGATCGGAGTGGGAGAGACAGAGGTCACGCTCACTGTCAACGGTAAGGAACACCACACATCACACGAATAGATAAGCTGGAGTTTATGGTTCAAATGTGTGTGATGATTTGATGTAGGCTTTAATACTGCTATGAAGACTGGAGTGTGCAACTTTCATTTCAAACTATTCATTGGTATAGTATTTCTTCTTGTTATACATGAAGTGGAATGTACCACCCCTCACTCTTTCTCAAGCTCACTCTCTTTATTTCTTCCTATCCAGGTCCCCCCATCATCTCCAGTGAGCCCGTCCAGTATGCGGTGAGGGGGGAGAGAGGAGAGGTCAAATGCTATATTGCCAGCTCTCCACCACCGGACAAGATTGTAAGTTGACAGTTGATACTGTACAAACTCTACTGCAAGCTTATACATTACCACCTATACATTATCGTCATGAGATTACCGCCTATACATTATCATCGTGAGATTACCACCTATACATTATCATCATGAGATTACCGCCTATACATTATCGTTGTGGGTACCACCTATATGTTATTGTCGTGAGATTACCACCTATACATTATCGTCGTGAGATTACCACCTATACATTATCGTCGTGAGATTACCACCTATGCATTATCGTCGTGAGATTACCACCTATACATTATCATCATGGGATTACCGCCTATACATTATCGTTGTGGGTACCACCTATATGTTATTGTCGTGAGATTACCGCCTATACATTATCGTCGTGAGATTACCACCTATACATTATCGTCGTGAGATTACCACCTATGCATTATCGTCGTGAGATTACCACCTATACATTATCGTCATGTGATGGCCACCAAAATCTTTTCGAATTGTCCTGAGACCCACCAAGTAAACAAGATTTCTAGTAGAGGGACACTTCTAGTGCAGCCAGTCACAGTGTCTGAAACCAGCTGATATCTCTTCTCCTCCACTTGTCTCTCTGGTCCGGATGCTCTCAGACAGTGGCTGCATCTGAAATGGCACCATTTTCCCTACATAGTGCACCCTATGGGCCATGGTCAAAAGTAGTGCACTGTATAGGGAATAAGGTGCTATTTGGGACGTAGTCAGTGTGTAGTTGGTCTCTTCCTCCTCTCCTCTCCTCTTGTCTCTAATGTTTGTGAGTTTGATTCTCTCTGACGCACCAGCTTGCGTTCTTAATGCAGGGACAGAAAGGGAGTTATAAAATATGAAGGACTGGCTGGAACAGTTGTCCCAGTAAATGCCTCCGTCAGAGTTTCTTGTTTTTCAGAATAAATGGAAGATTACCGGAACATGTGGCCTCATGCATTTTTAAATACTCTCTCATACTTCAGTGTGAATAATAGCTTTTAGCGGATTAGAAGTTGCGGAAGTGTGTAAGATTCTCACCAACTCTAAAACCACTACATGTTACTCTATAGTCCAAGAATAGAGAGATAGAGAGGCTTAGAACGGTTGCTGCTGGTAATGTGTGAATCTCATTCTGTGTGCGTTGTGTGTGTGAATGTGTTTTTAATGTATGTATGTATGTGTTTGCTTGTTTACGTTAGTGGGGATGTGTCTGTGTGTACATCTTTGTATGCCCACTTGTGTGTACAGTATGCCTGCATGTGTACAATATGTGTGTAAATGCATAATGCATATGTATGTGTATGCCAGTAAACATAATGTACTGGGGTCCATATGGGTGTGTTAACTTGCGCCTGTCTGTCTGTCTGTGTTTCAGGTGTGGGCGTGGAAAGAGAACGTATGGGAGAAGGAGAAGGGAACTCTGTTGGAGAGGTACACGGTGGAGCAGAGTAAACCTCTGTCTGAGGGAGGGGCTGTCCTCTCCACCCTCACCATCAACAACGTCATGGAGGCTGACTTCCTGTCCACCTACAACTGTACCGCCTGGAACGCCTTCGGTCCCGGGACCATGATCATCATCCTGGAGGAGACTGGTATGACCAGAGACAAACAACAACAAAAACAGCAACAACAGCAACAATAACCACCATATATTCACCACCATTATATTCACAACCATTATATTCATACTCCTAACTTGATATGACCAGACATCTCTCCTCAAAAACAACAACAATACTCACGCCTGCTCTATCACAATGTTTTAGCTGAATCTGCATGTTGTATTGTGTTGACTACTTACATTTTTCTGTACTTTCTCTCTCCCTCTCTCTCCCTCATTTTCTCTCTCCCTCTTTCTCTCTCTCTCTCTCTCCCTTCCTCTCTCTCTCTCTCTCTCTCTCTCTCTCTCTCTCTCTCTCTCTCTCTCTCTATCGCTCTCTCTCCTCTCCCCATTCTCTCTGTCTCATTCCATCCCCCTTTCCTCCCTCCCTCCTCTCTCCCTCCATTCCTCTCTCCTCTCATCCCTCTCTCAGAGGAGGTCCCAGTGGGTATAATAGCAGGAGGGACTGTTGGCTGCACCATCCTGCTGTTCCTGTGTTTACTAGTCCTGGTGCTGGTCTTCTACCGACAGCGCAAAGGCAGTGAGTGACACCTGCATCTACTCCACACAGACAAACCATCTATAAAGTATCAAACACATACCAATACATGTTTCATATGCCCATGCCTTAAAAACACCATACACCTGTTTGTCTTCAGATATCTAACCTGTACCCCCACACATTGACTCGGTACCGGTACCCGCTGTATATAGCCTCATTATTGTTTTTTTGTTGTTGTTTTTTTAAACTTGAGTTTATTTAGTAAATATTTTCTTAACTCTATTTCTTGAACTGCATTGTTGGTTAAGGGCTTGTAAGTAAGCATTTCACGGTAAGGTCTACACCTGTTGTATTCGGCGCATGTGACAAATAGAATGTTATTTGATTTTTGATTTCATATCAATATATGAACCCATTATTTACCTTTACACATTATACATTATTCACATAACCCACATGCACATATACATACTGTATACATATTGTATCTATCTAAATCAATATACCCTGACATATCCAGCAGTATTCAACTGTGTACTGTGCTGTTGTGTTGTGCTTCCAGGTCGTCGCGGGGTCACGCTGGGTAAGCCAGACATCAAGGTAGAGACAATAAACAAGGAGACCCACAGTCTGGAGGAGGACTCCGGCAGCGTTTCCACGGCATCGCGCATGGTCAAGGCCATGTACTCGGTGAGTTGCCATGACAATGGGACAGCAGGTTGCCTTGAACTTTACTGCCTTTGGTTTATGTTACCCAAGTTCCCCTCAGGGGATCAATAAAGTTTATTCAATCATTCCAACGACACCTCAACTCTGAAGCTATCACCTTACACAACCAACCTCTTAAGAGAAATGCTGAACTTATTTTTCTTCTCAATCGTATCAACTTTTGCTGTTCTATCTTTCCAATCACAATACTGACATTTTTAACACTTATGATGACCCTTTTTCAACCTAAATTTAGATCTGTCACTTTCTCTTCCTTTCCTCTTTTTCTTCTACTTCGCCTCTTATGTTGGATTCCTCCCCACCTTTGTTGTTTTTTTGTTGTTTGATGGTTTAGTTTCTGCCCTCTTCTGTACCCTTCTCTCCCTCCTCTCAGCCCTTTAAAGACGATGTAGAACTGAAACAGGACCTACGCAGCGACACGCTAGACACGCGCCAGGAGTACGACCTGAAGGTGATATCATCACACACACACGCAAACACACACACATGCACGTACACACCCACACACACACATACACACGGACACACACACACCTTAGTTACAATATGTCTTCTTCTCTCTGTCCAGGATCCCACCAACGGCTACTACAACGTGCGAGCCTCCACCCACGACGAGGGCCGTCCCGCCTCCCGCTCCATGCACTACTCCGACTACCGGTCCTCCAACCCCACAGGGGGCGCTACCTCCGTCAGCAGCAGTGCTGGAGGATCAGGGGCCACAGCCAGCGGAGGAGGCCCTCCAGGCCCAGGGCCCCTCTCCACCCCTGGCCGCCCCAGCTGCTACGACCCCCGGCCCCCCTCCAGACTGTCCCACAACAGCTATGCCCAGTTTAACACCTTCACCCGGGCTGGGCAGAGCCAGCAGCCCCCTCCCAATCCCCCGCCTCAGACCAGCGACTTCCCTGGGGACTGCAGCCTGTTGGACTCCTCTCAACTGGCCTACGACAACTACGGCTATCCCTCTCACCCCTATACCCCTTACCGCATGGGCTTCGCCCCGCCCACTCTGGCTCCCTTGGAAGCCGGGCCATCCTATGAGATGTACGGGGTGGGGTCGGGGGTGGGGCCTGTGCCGGTGGTGGGGCCTGGTGTGGGGGTGGTGCCTGGGGCAGCAACGTCAGGGTCAGAGACTGGACTGGGGAAGTATGGAAGCTCTACCCGCTTCTCCTATACCTCGCAGCATTCTGACTACGGCCACAGAGGACACACACAGAGGATGCAGACACATGTGTGAGATACAGTACATTCTCACGTAGAGGGTGAGGGTGCATTCTCATACACACTGTCATTCAGACACACACACACACATTCGCATTCTCAAACATACACACATAAACACGTGTGAGCTTACACACACACACACAGAGAGACACACATGCAGGCACACACACACAGACACACACACACACACAGGAGTTAGAATTTGCTCACAAGACAGGGAGTGTATGAGAAAGAGAGATAGTCCAGATCAGTGGACAATGGAGAGTATCCCAGTGAGACAGGGAGGGGAATTCCTTGTAATCTAGAATTCCCACACTCCCAGTGTTCAATTCTTCGCTCTGAAAGAGCAGAAAGCGAAAGTCACAATCAAGACCAGAGAAAACAGGACTAGAGAGAACAAGAGATCTTTAGATGTTAATTATCTAAATAAATAGCATAAGTGCTATGAATTTAGATTGTAATGAGTGACAAGAGGGAAGGGCGTTACAGGCAATTTATTCCATATACGATTGCCAAATATTACCGTAAGGCATATCATGGAGAAATTGACCGTCAAATATGGTACTCATTCGTTGGGCGGGAGAAACCTCAACCAGTGGAGGGTAATGACTGTCCGCCATTTTGTTTTAGCTGGTTGTTGTTTTATACAGTGATCTTAGAGCACATATATATCCCAGAATGCTTTACTTCATTGGCGACATTGGTGCTGGTTAGTGGGGCCATCGTACGTTTTGCACTGCGTTACAAACAGTATTCATTGCTTAGACATTCGTTATCTACGTATAGCTGTATTATATATATGTCTGTTTTTATTTGCACACCAACAAACTAGAGCTTTGTATTCTATTTTTTAACATTTTACTGAATTATTTTTGTCATATTTCTGTGAAGGAAGTGTCTGTGGACCAAAATGTTCAAACTTGAGAGCGTTTAGTATTTGTTTGGGTGATATTCACCTCAACAAACAAAGAGAAACACAAATAAGTATTTGTGGACCTGTTTCTGTCAGCCATGATGACTGGCAGAATTCAGGAAGCGGGGGTATATACAGGAAACTTTTTACCAAGTGTCCATGTTGCTCTTTATTTTGATGTAAATCTTGGGTTACAAGCATTTATGCAGTAGAGGTCCTTCTATGGGCAGGTGTTGTGTGTTGCTAGGCCTACCAAGGGTTTCGGTTCCGGGCATATGGAACTATAAGCCTGGTACCCTGGGATTCAAACGGAATTTGATTTGTTACACCATTTATATGAATATACTACATCATTTATATGGTGAAACATTGCGAATTCAGCTTGGATCCAGACTATAAGCCTTAGCCTGGTGCCCCCTGCTGAAATAGAAAGAGGAGATGTGGTAGCCTGGTCCCAGATCTGTTTGTGCTGTCTTTCCTACTCCTATGGTCATTGTCACACTTGCGAACAAACAGACATGGGACCATGGCTAGTGAGATGGTGTGTATGGGGGTTTAGAACAGAGTGGCCTTAGGGAACATGTCGTAACGCTTTCATTACTCATACTCAATCACCCATGATGACGAGGCCAGAGGAGAATGTGTATGGAAAGGTGCAATGAAGGTTTTTCTACAGTATTGACATATAGTGGCGTGTGAATGTGTGTGGGTGAAATAAATAATGAGCAAAAGGGAGAGAGAGAGAGAGAGAGAGAGAGAGAAAGAGAGAGAGTGTGCAGTGTGTGTGTGTGTGCGTGCACATCTATTTGTACAGTGTTTGTATAGATGTGTGAATGGCTGTGTGTGTGTATGTAACGCATATACATACAGTACTCTACCTGCGTGTGTGCGTGAATATTGTATGCATGTCAGTGTGTACAGTATGTGTGTGTGTGCATGTCTGTATGTGTTTATGTGTGTGAGTGTGTTTCAGTAATACAGCGTTTCCCAAACTCGGTCCTGGGGCCCCCCCTGGGTGGACGTTTTGGTTTTTGCCCTAGCACTACACAGCTGATTCAAATAACCAACTCATCATCAAGCTTTGATTATTTGAATCAGCTGTGTAGTGTTAGGGCAAAAACCAAAATGTGCACCCCTTGGGGTCCCCAGGATCGACTTTGGGAAACGCTGCATTAATATGTCCATATCATTTCTCTTCGCAATCCTGTTACAATACTTTTATACCTCTGGTAGGACTGTATCCTGTATTATTGTGTCTTTGAATTTAGAAATACAATGTTAATCTTATTGTACTGTTCTACGTAGCAGAGAAAAACTGTTCAAAAGATGTACAACAAAAATCACATTTTCATTTTTTAAGTTCATTATTTCCAATATTTTTTAAAAATGGTATGTAATTATTTTTCCACAGTATTACAGAAATAAAAAGCACTGTTTTTTAGAAAATAAAACATGTGGTGTGATGCTTTCAGGGGAATGGGATAACAACCAATTCAGAGAATACAGTTTATTTTGTGTTTTCCCCTACAATCAACATATATTATTACCTACAACCCAATGTAATATAAAAAAAAAAAAATTATAATCTTTCATTAGAGCCAAATTTGAAAAATTTCTGAAAATGTGATTAATCACAGCAAATCAATGCAATTAACTTTATTAATATCATTTGACAGACTTTATCAGTACACATTCAATTTACTAATAATTATATTATATAAATGTGAAAAAGCACAACACCACCATGCTTATATACTTCTACTGGGCAACTTGACTATTTCCACTACGACTGCATTCACTATTTCTACTGTTACTATTCCACTAAAGGCTACTATCCCACTACTACAAAAGTCATACTTCTACAATACACTAGCGTCAAATTTTCAACACTAACAATTTTAACTTCTTCCATTACCATAAAAATGCTTTTGGAGTATTGTCACACAATTTTTCTAGCGCCAACTCAACTTCCATTATATTTCAGTACGATAGGTGGCAGTAACATAATTCTGTCATCTTTGCTTCCCAAACCAAAAAAAAGAAAATAATTGTCACCGACTGCACAGCCAGAGATACTTTTGAGGAGATGGGAAACTTCCTTGGAATAGCATTAACGCCTATTGTGTACATTGCAAATGCTACGTGAATGGGCCGTGCAGTGCATTCTGGGCGATTCTGGGTGAAGGAGAGCTCTCCTTCAAGGATGAATGGGAGTCAATTGAACATTAGATCAAAAACCCATCATTAGCATGACTTTCGTCAACAAGAAGTACAACATTACAAATCTTTTCCGAGATAATTAACTTGCTATATATGATATTATATAGCTTTGGAATCGTGACATTACGTACTTTCAAATAAAATAGGCACCTTTCTCAACTCATAGCCTGACTTTGAGAAGAGATTGCGTGATGATTAACTTTCCATTCATTGCCCAATGGGATTCCTATCTCCTCCTTTCTGTTATCCACTACCGGTCAAAAGTTTTAGAACACATACTCGTTCAAGGGTTTTTCTTTATTTTCACTATTTTCTACATTATAGAATAATAGTGAAGACATCAAAACTATGAAATAACACATGGAATAATGTAGTAACCAAAAAAGTGTTAAACAAATCAAACTATATTTTATATTTGAGAATCTTCAATTAGCCACCCTTTGCCTTGATGACAGATTTGCACACTCTTGGCATTCTCTCAACTAGCTACACCTGGAATGCTTTTCCAACAGTCTTGAAGCAGTTCCCACATATGCTGAGCACTTGTTGGCTGCTTTTCCTTCACTCTGCGGTCCGACTCCCAAACCATCTCAATTTGGTTGAGGTCGGGGGTTTGTGGAGGCCAGGTCATCTGATGCAGCACTCCATCACTCTCCTTCTTGGTAAGATAGCCCTTACACAGCCTGGAGGTGTGTTGGGTCATTGTCCTGTTGAAAAACAAATGATAGTCCCACTAAGCCCAAACCAGATGGGATGGCGTATCGCTGCAGAATGCTGTGATAGCCATGCTTGTTAAGTGTGCCTTGAATTCTAAATGAATCACACAGTGTCACCAGCAAAGAACCCCCACACCATAACACCTCCTCCTCCATGCTTTACGGTGGGAACTACACATGTGGAGATCATCCTTTCACCCACACCGCGTCTCACAAAGACACGGTGGTTGGAACCAAAAATCTCCAATTTGGACTCCAGACCAAAGGACAGATTTCCACCGGTCTAATGTCCATTGCGTCCATTCCGTCTTTTCTTATTATTGGTGTCCTTTAGTAGTGGTTTCTTTGCAGCAATTCGACCATGAAGGCCTTATTCACACAGTCTCCTCTGAACAGTTGAAGTTGAGATGTGTCTGTTACTTGAACTCTGTGAAGCATTTATTTGGGCTGCAATATCTGAGGCTGGTACTCTAATTAACGTATCCTCTGCAGCAGAGGTAACTCTGGGTCTTCCATTCCTGTGGCGGTCCTCATGAGAGCCAGTTTCATCAAAGCGCTTGATGGTTTTTGCGATTGCATTTCAAGAAACTTTCAAAGTTCGATTGCAAAAGGAAATAAGAGAAGTACAGTGGTAGTGGAAACTAGTAATTCCAAACCTAGTCCTGAGTCTTTTTTGGATCAATGTTGTTACCTGGGAGATCCGTTTGAAGTCTTTTCAAATTGTGGATGCGTTGGATGAGGTTGCGTCAATGAGAATAACGAGAAGTTGGCTTATTTAGTTTTTTTGTGTTTCTATGGAACAGAAGGAGCGTGCTCTGCCCCTCAAGAAGATGTCGGATTGGAATGTGTCGTATGTGGATCTTCGAAGCAGGGCGCCTATCAAGGGTGTTATCTCTGTGGTGGCGCTAGAAGTAAATGCAAAGGATATATATGTGAAGAATTGGATCAGGTGGTTGGTGCACAACGACTGATCCGCATGGTAGATGGAGTGCAGAAGCCCACTCCATCCATTCTATCGTTTTTTTATGAAGAGTCTCTTCCTTCTCACGTGTATTTGGGTTATATGAGATTCCCTGTGAGAGCCTTCGTGCCCAAACCCATGCAGTGTGATAAATGTAAATAATTTGTTAATGTGTCAAGTGTATGTAGACGGGAGGAGTATTAAATGCCAGCTGAGCCTAAATTCTGCAATTGTGGTGGTGAACATGTACCCGAATTTCTGAACTGTCCTGTTAAGGTGAAGGATACGGAGGTGGCAAGAATAGCGGCTGTCCAGAATGTCTCCTATCAGGAGGCATTGAGAAGAGCGGAAGAAAGTTGTGAAGTTGAAGAAGTAATGGTAGTAGGAGTAGAAACACAAGATGATGTTCCTTGTCAACAGGGGGATCCTGACATGTTTAATGTTAAGAAGGTGGACTTTGTAGCGTTTATTACTTTGGTTATCAACTGCACTGCGCAAACGGAGAGGAAATCGGAGAAAATAGGCATCATTGTGAGTGCGGCTGAGCGTTTTTTGGGACTCAGGAACTTTTCTGCAGAGGCATTACAAGGAATCCTGTCAATGAATGCTCTGTCCTCACAGGCACCTGAGCCTGTGTAGGGATGTCATTTGAATGTAACGGAAGGAGTTGGATGGTTGTTTTGATTTTTTTTGTATTTTTTTGTAATATATCTCGGGTCCCCCCTTCCATTGCGGGAAGGGGGGACCCGAGATATATTATTTTTGTTTTTGTTTCAATACCCCGTACAGTAGGTGGCGGCAATACAACAATAAGTCTAGTCTGCCATACAACTTTGAAGAAGAAGAAGAAGAAGAAGAAGAAGAAGAAGAAGAAGAAGAAGAAGAAGAAGAAGCACAGACAATGGGATGCACTCCCCGGAAAAGATGGTGAAAGCGGACGCTGATGTGGAGCGTCAATATAATGGCTGGGGAATCAAGGAGAACTGGAATATTGTCCAAAAGAGTAGAAAACGGAGCAAAGTAGCATACAGTGATGAGACTGTCCCTTCTTATCTTGTAGGAGTCCTGAGATGTTAAAGTTGTGGGAAAAATCATATCAAGTGTTTTAAAAGTGATGAAAATGTGACATGTTGCAATTACGGTGGGAACCATGAAGCCACGTCTTTGGAATGCCCAACACGGGTGAAAAATAATAAGGTGGCCATAGTCAGGGCTGTCCAGAGCATTTCATATGCAGTGGCTGTTTAAAGCGTTGTGGGTTCGAATGGTGCTCCTGAAGAGTCCTGGATAGGCCTTCACTGAAGGCTGCAGGGGTTGCCGTTCAATATCAGGACCCAGATATGTTAAAGGTTAAGAAGGTGAACTTTGTGGCCTTTATAACTATGGTGATTAATTGACTGCCAAGTCCAGGAAAATAGATATCATTGTGGATGCGGAGGAACAGTTCCTGGGACTGAAAGACTTCTCGACGGAGGAGTTGAATGTAGTGTTGTCACAAGCAGTACCACCCTCTCAGGTAATAGAGGGTGGCAGGTAGCTTAGTGGTTAAGAGCGTTGTGCCAGTAACCAAAAGGTTGCTGGTTCTAATCCCCGAGCCGACTAGGTGAAAAATCTGTCGATGTGCCCTTGAGCAAGGCACTTAACCCTAATTGCTCCTGTAAGTCGCTCTGGATAAGAGAGTCTGCTAAATGACTCAAATGTAAAAAGCTTGAGGAGATTTGAAGGAAGGAAGAAGTGTATGTTTTTTGGTTTCGGTTTTGTCAATGTGGTTTATTATTGTTTTATTTTGGGTGGATGAAGTTAGTTTTTCCTACCACGTCCACGAATGGTTGTTTTTTAACCTTTTTTTTTTTTTTTTACCCCGTCCAGTTGGTGGCGGTAATGCACCTTTTGGGGCTGCAGTCTGCTATAAAACCCACAGAAGAAGACTGCCAAGATGGCGGGGACAATGTTAAGGTCGCTTAGCAAACTTGGTCGTCCTTCAACAAAATGTATTTTAAATAGTAATTTGGTCAGCCCTGGCTGCACTGTCCTGCAAAACAGGTGAGATGTTAATTTTGATAAGTGCAATTATAGTTTAAATGGTCAATGATATCCAAGTAGGTCGTTCAGGGATAAAAAATAAACTCACATAACCGCTAACGTTATCTAGCATTAGCAAGCTAGCAAATTAGTCCTTAGCCTTAGGGCTTACCTGCTCACCATATAAAAGCGTTTGGGATTTTCGTTCAGACTTAACAGTCCACCTGACATCTAGATCTATGTTTCTTATGTTATGTCAAACATGACTGTTGTGTAGTTGTTGTAACGTTAAACAGCTTGAGAGTTTAGCTGCTTGTTCGTTATCTAGCCAACCGGTTAGCTACTTGAGCTGGAGTGGAGTTTAGTTCGGTACTTAGCCGAATCATGTGGATTTTGAGTTGATATTAGCACATTCGTGACCGGCTTGTCATCTTGCTAGCGAACTAACTAGCTAGCATAGTACCTAACAATTTGTTAATTGCTGAAGCAAATGAAATGCATGCTTTTCACTGTCGTCTGAAAAACCATTTGTACAAGGAGTGGAATGTTGACACTAAACAGGTCTCAATTCCAGGCTAGCTAGCTGTCCACCTTGACTTGTTCTAGTTAGCTAACGTTACTCAACAACAACATGTTTAGCTACTTAGCTGAAGTTATGGGAAGTGCCATTTACAGCATTGAGGTCAACAACACTTCAGAGTCAAACATCAATACGTGTAAGACAGTAACTTGAAACAGTTCAGGCTTTTCAAGGGTCGGAAAAACATACATTTGTGCCTTGACAAGTAGGCTATGTACCCGTACTAACCGTTTTGGTACCATGATATACTGTGCAACACCAATGCTGTGTGAAATGTGATTAGTGACCCATCTGTTTTGGCTGACCTAGAATGTAATAATGCCCAACCCTGACCTCTATGTCATTATCATTAGGAGGAGTTTCCTTGGCACGTGTGGTTGCTCTGAGACTGGGTTAGCTTACCTCAAGAGCCTGTGTAGGTTAAACACTGGCTAAACAACATCCACATCCACACAGCGGCTTAGAAACAGTACTGATTCATTCCCCATTGACACATCATGGTTGCTTGTTGTTCTGTTCTTCCAGACAGAAACAATGGCAGCCAGATGTGGAGTGGGCGGAGCAGTATGCCGGGGCGGTGATGTATCCCAGCGCCATCACTGAGAAATGGGTCCCCCCACCATGGAATGGTACGCCCTTATCTATAGGCTAGTTATTATTTAGGCAGAGACCTGTATAAATATTGAAATGTTTGTGTGGTAGTTGTATTTTATTGCCTGCTATACTTGATCACTTTATCATAGATTTAGAATCATTCCACATCATACTCTGTGACTTTATCATACAGTCATTCTACATATAGATTTAGCGCAACTCGTATGCATGAATTCCAAACCAACTAGCCCCTCTGCAACCTCTCCTACATTTTTCAATCTGTAAAACCCAGATGAAGGCCAAGAGCCGAAACGCATTGGTTTTACTTTTAACAATAACAAAGCTTTCTTATCAACTTCCACTGTCCTCCAAGAGTTGCTGAATCTCCTCTCAACCACTCTTTCTCACCACAGATAAGGATGCTCCTATGGAGAAGGAGGTGTCTAACCTGACCATTAACTTTGGCCCCCAGCACCCCGCGGCCCACGGCGTGCTGCGTCTGGTGTTGGAGCTCAGCGGGGAGTCGGTAAAGAAATGTGATCCCCATGTGGGCCTGCTGCACCGCGGCACAGAGAAACTCATCGAGTACAAGACCTACCTGCAGGTACGTAGCCGCTACCATGTTATAGCACACCCAGAGACATTAAGGTATGTGCAGCGGATATCAAAATTGGCTGAAAGTAACTTGAATCAGTGTCCTGGCTAAGATGCTTGTAATGTACATGATGCATGTTTAGACTCTTCTGTATCAGGCATATTTTTATAGGATAAATTGCATTAGTGTGTGTGTGTGTGCTTTAGGCGCTGCCCTACTTTGACAGGCTGGACTACGTGTCCATGATGTGCAATGAGCAGGCTTACTCTCTGGCCGTGGAGAAGCTGCTCAACATCCAGGCCCCACCCCGCGCACAGTGGATCAGAGGTGAGACTAAGTGCTGCTAGATGACCATGCCAGAAAGGACAAACATACCAGTAGCTCAGGTACTGGGGTGTATTCATTAGTGCAATTAAAATATTTTGCAACATAAAAAGGGTTTCTTATTGGACAAGTCCAGGTAAGCCCTCCCTATTTCAGCCTGTTTGCTGCCGTTTGGTACCTAGTGAATATGTCCCTAATAAGCAAGCCAAGTATATAAGCTTTTTGGCCTTAGTTTAGGTTTAGAGAGAACGGTACGTTTTGGATCAGGGATGAACATTTGTGGTTAGAAAAGTGCTGCACCTCCCTCCTTTACCAGCACGACAGTAACAAGCGTGAGAAGCACAACCTTGTAAGATCATCTGGACCTATTTTCCCTCTTATACAAGGTCACTAGGGGGCAGTAGGTTGCTACATGGAGTTCAACAGTCAACATGGATATACAGAGGGAATGTGGCCTGTCATGGAATGCAATCTAAATACACCTCCGCTGTCTTCAACCAGGATCTCAGCGATCACTGCCTTATTGCCTGCGTCCGTAACGGGTCCGTGATCAAACGACCACCCCTCATCACTGTCAAACGCTCCCTAAAACACTTTAGCGAGCAGGCCTTCCTAATTGACCTGGCCCAGGTATCCTGGATGGATATAGATCTCATTCCGTCAGTAGAGGATGCCTGGTTGTTCTTTAAAAGTAATTTCCTCTCAATCTTAAATAAACATGCCCCATTCAAAAAATACAGAACTAAGAACAGATATAGCCCCTGGTTCTCCTCAGACTTGACTGCCCTTGACCAGCACTAAAACATCCTGTGGCGTACTACATTAGCATCAAATAGCCCCCGCGATATGAAACTTTTCAGGGAAGTTAGGAACCAATATACACAAGCAGTTAGGAAAGCAAAGGCTAACTTTTTCAAACAGAAATTTGCATCCTGTAACACTAACTCCAAAAAGTTTTGGGACACTGTAAAGTCCATGGAGAATAAGAGCACCTCCTCCCAGCTGCCCACTGCACTGAGGCTAGGAAACACTATCACCACCGATAAATCTACAATAATCGAGAATTTCAACAAGCATTTTGCTACGGCTGGCCATGCTTTCCACCTGGCTACCACTACCCCGGCCACCAGCTCTGCACCCTCCGCTGCAACTTGCCCATGCCCCCCCCCGCTTCTCCTTCACACAAATTCAGACAGCTGATGTTCTGAAAGAGCTGCAAAATCTGGACCCCTACAAATCATCTGGGCTAGACAATCTTGACCCTTTCTTTCTAAAACTAGCCGCCGAAATTGTCGCAACCCCTATTACTAGCCTGTTCAACCTCTCTTTCGTAACGTCTGAGATCCCCAGAGATTGGAAAGCTGCCGCGGTCATCCCCCTCTTCAAAGAGGGTGACACTCTAGATCCAAACTGTTACAGACCTATATCCATCCTGCCCTTCGAAAGTATTTGAAAACCAAGTTAACAAACAGATCACCGACCATTTCGAATCCCACCGTACCTTCTCCGCTATGCAATCTGGTTTCCAAGCTGGTCATGGGTGCACCTCAGCCACGCTCAAGGTCCTAAACGATATTATAACTGCGATTGATAATAGACAGTACTGTGCAGCCGTCTTCATCGACCTGGCCAAGGCTTTCGACTCTGTCAACCACCGCATTCTTATTAGAAGACTAAATAGCCTTGGTTTCTCAAATGACTGCCTCGCCTGGTTCACCAACTACTTCTCAGTTCAATGTGTCAAATCGGAGGGCCTGTTGTCTGGACCTATGGCAGTCTCTATGGGGGTGCCACAGGGTTCAATTCTTGGGCCGACTCTTTTCTCTGTGTATATCAATGATGTCGCTCTTGCTGCTGGTGACTCTCAGATCCACCTCTACGCAGACGACACCATTTTGTATACATATGGCCCTTCATTGGAAACTGTGTTAACAAACCTCCAAACGAGCTTCAATGACATACAATACTCCTTCAGTAGCCTCCAACTGCTCTTAAACACTAGTAAAACTAAATGCATGCTCTTCAATCGAACGCTGCTGGCACCCGCCCACCCGACTAGAATCACTACTCTCGACGGGTCTGACCTAGAGTATGTGGACAACTACAAATACCTAGGTGTCTTGTTAGACTGTAAACTCTCCTTCCAGAGTTTACATCTAGAATCGGCTTCCTATTTCGCAACAAAGCCTCCTTCAATCATGCTGCCAAACATGCCCTCGTAAAACTGACTATCCTACCGATCCTTGACTTCGGCGATGTCATTTACAAAATAGCCTCCAACACTCTACTCAGCAAATTGGATGTAGTCTATCACAGTGCCATCCGTTTTGTCACCAAAGCCCCATATACTACCCACCACTGTGACCTGTACGCTCTTGTTGGCTGGTCCTCACTACATATTCGTCGCCAAACCCACTGGCTCCAGGCCATCTATAAATCACTGCTAGGCAAATCCCCGCCTTATCTTAGCTCATTGGTCACCATAGCAACACCCACCCGTAGTATGCGCTCCAGCAGGTATATCTCACTGGTCATCCCCAAAGCCAACACCTCCTTTGGCCGCCATTCCTTCCAGTTCTCTGCTGCCAATGACTGGAACGAATTGCAAAAATCTCTGAAGCTGGAGACTCTTATCTCCCTCACTAACTTTAAGCATCAGTTGTCAGAGCACCTTACCGATCACTGCACCTGTACACAGCCCATCTAAAATTAGCCCACCCAACTACCTCATCCCCATATTGTTATTTATTTTGCTCATTTGCACCCCAGTATCTCTATTTGCACATCATCTCTTGCACATCTATCATTCCAGTGTTAATACTAATTGTAATTATTTTGCACTATAGCCTATTTATTGCCTTACCTCCATAACTTGCTACATTTGCACACACTGTATATAGACTTTCTATTGTGTTATTGACTGTACGTTTTGTTTATTCCATATGTAACTCTGTTGTTGTTTTTTCCGCACTGCTTTGCTTTATCTTGGCCAGGTCGCAGTTGTAAATGAGAACTTGTTCTCAAATGGTTAAATAAAGGTGAAAAAACTAATTCTCCACACAGGAAGAACAGGGGCAACAATAGTGAAGTAAGTATGCATTTTCAGTGTGTATTTCTGTGTTGTAGTTCTTTTCGGAGAGCTGACTCGCATCATGAACCACATCATGGCCATCACCACACACGCCCTGGACATCGGAGCCATGACCCCCTTCTTCTGGATGTTTGAGGAGAGGGAAAAGGTGAGGGCACTGGATAGACTAGAGTAGTGTATGACCTTTCTTTGAGGTGATAGGACGCAGGTTGTCATTGTTAATAAGAATTTATTAATTGACTTGTGTTATTAAAGGTTTGCTGTAGAAGCCATTTTGAGCTCATTCACAGATGTTTTTTTTTTTAAAGGGTGTTCTGTCTTGTGTCTATCCTTCTCCTAGATGTTTGAGTTCTATGAGCGTGTCTCAGGGGCTAGGATGCATGCAGCCTACGTCAGACCTGGAGGAGTACACCAGGTGAGGGCTGCCTAGGAACTAAGTGTTATGGGGTTGCTCCTGGGTGATGTTTCCCCTAGGTCCAGATCTAGGATCAGGATCCTCTCCCCCAATCCTAACCTTAACGCAAAACTCACCCAAGATCAACATCTATGGGTAACTTCACCCTACACCTATGGATTTGATGTATGTGATGTAATGGTGGCTATAAAACTAAGATTGCGTTATCTGTTTGTTCCAGGACATGCCACTGGGGCTAATGGACGACATCTACGAGTGGTGCAAGAACTTTTCCATCAGAATAGATGAGGTGGAGGAGATGTTGACCAACAACCGTATCTGGAAGAACCGAACTGTGGACATTGGGGTTGTGTCTGCTGAGGACGCACTCAACTATGGCTTTAGGTGAGGCAAACATATACTGCGCACTCTCTCGCTTTTCCTCTCAAACTTTTGAAAACCGAATGAAATGTGTAACTAACTCCCTCTGCTTGTCTTGTCTGTCAGTGGTGTGATGCTGAGGGGTTCAGGCATCAAGTGGGACCTGCGGAAGTCTCAGCCCTACGACAAGTATGACGAGGTGGAGTTTGACGTCCCCATTGGCAGTAAGGGAGACTGCTACGACAGGTGAGAGGAACTCCTATTATCCTCTCTCTATTTGTCAGCCTCGCTCTCTTTTACTTAGTATTGCCTTTGCAGACATGAGAGATTTTGTCTGTCTTTTGAGTAATATTTTTGTGCTGCCTGACCCGGAACACATATGCCCCTGGAGGCAGCGGTTCACCAATCCCGCGTTCCGCTACTCACTTTTCTCTGCAATATCCCTCATCTGTCTCCCCATCTACATATCTAACCGGTATCTGTCAATAAAATGTGAAAATACTGTCAATAAAATGTGAAAATACATCAACTATATATATATATATATATCTCACACACACACCTCCTTGGTGTTGGTCAGGTACCTGTGCAGGGTGGAGGAGATGAGGCAGAGTCTCAGGATCATGATCGAGGCCCTCAACAAGATGCCAGCAGGAGAGATCAAAGTGGATGACGCCAAGGTGGCCCCACCCAAGAGATCTGAGATGAAGGTGAGACTCAATAACTGGCTGGAATAATAATACATTCGATTTAAAGCGCCTTTCAAAAAACCCAAGGAAACTGCAGCAAAAAAAAGAAGCATGGATAAAAACAATTAAAATCAAAGCTTCGATGTGAAATTATTTTAGGACATTTAGATCATCCGCGCAGATTATATCTGCTTTACTCTATAGTTAAACACATTAAGCCCTGATTTCTATGTGCATGGTGGAGTGTTGCACATTTAGTCTATTATATAAGCATAAACATCAGTTGTAATGGTGGTTTAATTATGTTCCAATGTTAGATGTCCATGGAGTCTCTGATCCATCATTTTAAGCTGTACACAGAGGGTTACCAGGTGCCCCCCGGATCCACATACACAGCTGTTGAAGCACCCAAGGTAAGCCCTTCCTCCCTCAGACAGACATGGATGTAACGGCTTTGAGACGCTCTCTTGCATTTCACCTATCCTCAAATACTGAGGCTATTTGATAGGTGCAGTTTACCATTACTAATGGTGAGATTATCCTTCACCTGATCCATTTTGTAGGTCATAGGATGCCTTTAGATCGAACACAATATCATATCCTTTATTGCAGATATTATATTTGACAGCCAGGGACATTCTGTAAATGTACCAGATTTTAACCAGCTGGCTAATTCTAATCTGTAGTCCCTGTTTAGGTAGATGAAGACATTGAATGTAATGTGCTGTAGGTGGGTCTGTTGTGTAATGTGACGTGATCTCCTCTCTTGTCTCTTTCAGGGAGAGTTTGGTGTGTATCTGGTGTCTGACGGCTCCAGCAGGCCCTACCGCTGCAAAATCAAAGCTCCGGGATTCGCTCATCTGGTACGTGGAGTTTAAGCTATATATGCACACTCACACAGACAGACTTCACACCCTGCATTGTTCAATGTAGTTATTAATTATTAAATGTGTTAAACGAGATCCTCAACGCTATTTATAGTTAATTCCCGTTAGAGTCGATGTCCCAGCCCCGCTAAAATCGAATTATCATCATTTTTAAAATCCCCATTAATATCTAAGCTAGAGTTATCTGTGTTTTTGCATGTGCAGAGTAACATCAGGGTTTGTCAGACCATGAGACATCCTGAAAATTGGTCTTCTCACGAAATTGTCTGTAGCGTCCAAACGGTTTGGCCTATAAACTATTATGACCCCTCTATGGAAAGATGAGACTCACGAACACAATGGTGTTTTGCTCTACGACCCCCACAAGCGTCTTGGGACTCGTCTGTCAGTACAGATGATCTGCCAACTTCTGTCTGAACAGTTTGGGCTACACACTAATATGTGTATAAAAAAAGTGTGTATATAGAGTGGGGAAAAAAAGTATTTAGTCAGCCACCAATTGTGCAAGTTTTCCCACTTAAAAAGATGAGAGAGGCCTGTAATTTTCATCATAGGTACACGTCAACTATGACAGACAAAATGAGAAAACAAAATCCAGAAAATCACATTGTAGGATTTTTAATGAATTTATTTGCAAATTATGGTGGAAAATAAGTATTTGGTCACCTACAAACAAGCAAGATTTCTGGCTCTCACAGACCTGTAACTTCTTCTTTAAGAGGCTTCTCTGTCCTCCACTCGTTACCTGTATTAATGGCACCTGTTTGAACTTGTTATCAGTATAAAAGACACCTGTCCACAACCAGTCACACTCCAAACTCCACTATGGCCAAGACCAAAGAGCTGTCAAAGGACACCAGAAACAAAATTGTAGACCTGCACCAGGCTGGGAAGACTGAATCTGCAATAGGTAAGCAGCTTGGTTTGAAGAAATCAACTGTGGGAGCAATTATTAGGAAATGGAAGACATACAAGACCACTGATAATCTTCCTTGATCTGGGGCTCCACGCAAGATCTCACCCCGTGGGGTCAAAATGATCACAAGAACGGTGAGCAAAAATCCCAGAACCACACGGGGGGACCTAGTGAATGACCTGCAGAGAGCTGGGACCAAAGTAACAAAGCCTACCATCAGTAACGCACTACGCCGCCAGGGACTCAAGTCCTGCAGTGCAAGACGTGTCCCCCTGCTTAAGCCAGTACATGTCCAGGCCCGTCTGAAGTTTGCTAGAGTGCATTTGGATGATCCAGAAGAGGATTGGGAGAATGTCATATGGTCAGATGAAACCAAAATATAACTTTTTGGTAAAAACTCAACTCGTTGTGTTTGGAGGACAAAGAATGCTGAGTTGCATCCAAAGAACACCATACCTACTGTGAAGCATGGGGGTGGAAACATCATGCTTTGGGGCTGTTTTTCTGCAAAGGGACCAGGACGACTGATCCGTGTAAAGGAAAGAATGAATGGGGCCATGTATCGTGAGATTTTGAGTGAAAACCTCCTTCCATCAGCAAGGGCATTGAAGATGAAACGTGGCTGGGTCTTTCAGCATGACAATGATCCCAAACACACCGGCCGGGCAACGAAGGAGTGGCTTCGTAAGAAACATTTAAAGGTCCTGGAGTGGCATGGCCAGTCTCCAGATCTCAACCCCATAGAAAATCTTTGGAGGGAGTTGAAAGTCCGTGTTGCCCAGCGACAGCCCCAAAACATCACTGCTCTAGAGGAGATCTGCATGGAGGAATGGGCCAAAATACCAGCAACAGTGTGTGAAAACCTTGTGAAGACTTACAGAAAACGTTTGACCTGTGTCATTACCAACAAAGGGTATATAACAATATAAGTATTGAGAAACTTTTGTTATTGACCAAATACTTATTTTCCACCATAATTTGCAAATAAATTCATTAAAAATCCTACAATGTGATTTTCTGGATTTTGTTTTCTCATTTTGTCTGTCATAGTTGACGTGTACCTATGATGAAAATTACAGGCCTCTCTCATCTTTTTAAGTGGGAGAACTTGCACAATTGGTGGCTGACTAAATCCTTTTTTTTCCCATTGTGTGTGTGTGTGTGTATATATGTGTATATATATATGTGTATGCGCGTTTCCTGATCTTTCTTATACATGATGTATCTCTCAGATATATAGGAGAGACACTTCAGAACAAACTTCCTTTTTGATTTTTTTTTGGGGCGGACTATCTGTTCCATAGTGAATTTGTTAATCTGTACTTTCATATGGGCTAACAGCAGTAAGGCCGAATCCATATTTTTCATCAAATATTGTTTTACATATCTTCAAGGGGTCTTAAAATTCAAAATCAAAATGATCCTTGGTGTATGACCTTCTTAAAACAATTGCATATAGCTTAGTAGAACTCCCCTGGCTTAGACAGGGTTTAGACTGTAATGGGTTAATAGTTGGATTGTAGTTGGTTGATTGTAGTTGGTTAATAGTTTTGTGTGGTCTTCCCCAGGCTGCCCTGGATATGATGGCTAAAGGACACATGCTGGCTGATGTGGTGGCCATTATCGGTAAGACATGTTTCTACTGGGTTGTGTTCAGTAGGGCACACTGCAGCAATGTGTTGCAACGAAAAACAACAAACATCTGTTCTGATTGGACAAGTTCATGTAGTACCCCTCTGTTTCATAAAAAAAAAAATCCTTGCTGAACATTACCCTGATGTTATCATTGAAACCATTGATTATCAGTATACTTATAACTCAAACAGCAATTATCTTTGTAATTCCTGTTAAAATAGTTATGGTTGAGGTTAAACCAATGATTTAGGGTTTTTTTCTGTTGTGACAGGCACCCAGGACATTGTGTTTGGAGAAGTTGACCGTTAAGTTAAAACACCAGACTGTTGTGTTGATAACAATGGTTCCACTCTGAAGAGGATATCTCCCTTCTCGGTCTTCGTGATCTGTCTGTCTCAGATGAAGTTTCTGTCCATAGCCTCACATAGTGTATCATCTATATGATCTGTAGTGACAAATTCCACTCGTAATCATCGATGTATAATGCTGTAATGATAAACCTAATAAATATTATATGACTGATTGGTCAAATGGTGTCGTTTTCTCACGGTTAGTCTCGTGAAATAGAAATATACTGTAACCACTTCAGATTTTTTTTAGCGTGTGATATTGTTTCAAAATGCCCTGTTGCACAAAAACAAATGGACTGAGCTCGACCACAACTTCCCCCCCGCTCTACTGTGGCTTTCTTTGCAACACTACGTCATCACCTCAAACCACTAACTTCAGCCCTGCTCAACCTACATGCTTTTTACTGACTGAGCAGTCAGACGTCCGGTAAAAATAATCTTGCTGTGTCCGTTTGTATACCTGTTGCTGTGATGATGGGAGGCAGATTCCCAGTTCTTTCAGCTCTTCCTCTGTGGGTGAGCTTTGGCAGTGCTGGTGAGTCGAGTTTAATACTACAACCTCTGATGTTTGGTATTGACCTTGGTTATGAAATTGTTGTATGTCTGTGGGATTAACATGATGAGAAATTAGCAAAACAGTTTTCGGTTAGTGTAATTGTAAATACATTTAGTCCCCCACTGGAATAAATATTTTTAAATATAGTTAATGATGTATCATGGTTAAGTCCCATGGTTGAGATCAGATCTCATGGGCGAGTCCAGAGCATATGTTGGTCTTCAGTAAAAATATTGGAAAATGTAATCTGTTTGGAACTCATTGAACTGTTATTTGGTAATATTAATTATTGACCGTTTAGTTGATACCCTGTAACGGCATGTTTCAATAGTTGTTATTGAAGTGGGTAACGTTCATTTTTCCTTCCTGAAAATTTTAAGTAAATCATAGCTGTTTCTACTGTCTAAATGGTTTTGCCCATTGTAAGTCGCTTTGGATAAAAGCGTCTGCTAAATGGCATATTAATTAATAATTAATAATTGTTTTATTCATAGATTCTTTTTTGATAAGCCAGAGTTTGGAGCAAATTATGTAATTTTATATACAGTTGAAGTTGGAAGTTTACATGCAGTGAGGGGAAAAAAGTATTTGATCCCCTGCTGATTTTGTACGTTTGCCCACTGACAAAGAAATTATCAGTCTATAATTTTAATGGTAGGTTTATTTGAACAGTGAGAGACAGAACAACAACAACAAAATCCAGAAAAACGCATGTCAAAAATGTTATAAATTGATTTGCATTTTAATGAGGGGAAATAAGTATTTGACCCCCTCAATCAGAAATATTTCTGGCTCCCAGGTGTCTTTTATACTGGTAACGAGCTGAGATTAGGAGCACACTCTTAAAGGGTGTGCTCCTAATCTCAGTTTGTTACCTGTATAAAAGACACCTGTCCACAGAAGCAATCAATCAATCAGATTCCAAACTCTCCACCATGGCCAAGACAGAAGAGCTCTCCAAGGATGTCAGGGACAAGATTGTAGACCTACACAAGGCTGGAATGGGCTACAAGACCATCGCCAAATAGCTTGGTGACAACAGTTGGTGCGATTATTCGCAAATGGAAGAAACACTAAAGACCTGTCAATCTCCCTCGGCCTGGGCCTCCATGCAAGATCTCACCTCGTGGAGTTGCAATGATCATGAGAACGGTGAGGAATCAGCCCAGAACTACACGGGAGGATCTTGTCAATGATCTCAAGGCAGCTGGGACCATAGTCACCAGGAAAACAATTGGTAACACACTACGCCGTGAAGGACTGAAATCCTGCAGCGCCCGCAAGGTCCCCCTGCTCAAGAAAGCACATATACAGGCCCGTCTGAAGTTTGCCAATGAACATCTGAATGATTCAGAGGAGAACTGGGTGAAAGTGTTGTGGTCAGCTGAGACCAAAATCGAACTCTTTGGCATCAACTCAACTCGCCGTGTTTGAAGGAGGAGGAATGCTGCCTATGACCCCAAGAACACCATCCCCACCGTCAAACATGGAGGTGGAAACATTATGCTTTGGGGGTGTT